TATACTTAAATGACAAATATTTTTTTAATTATTTTATTAATTTTTAAATAAAACAATAAACTTTTAATTTTTATTATTTAAGAATGTTAATTTTGTATTTTTTTATTTAAAAATTAATTAAATAACTATACTTAAATGACAAATATTTTTTTAATTATTTATTCAAGTTTTAAATAGAAAAAATATAAAAATTAATATTGTTTTAGTAAAAAAATTAAAAATTTATTATTTTATTTTGAAATCAATAAACAAAGAACATATAAGTGCATTCTCTCTTTCATGGTAACGTTCGAATTCGTATCCTTACTAATTTATTTAAAAGAAAAAAAAAAAGAAAATTCAGGATAAATTACTCTAAAATACTAATATTTCTTAATGAACTAAGACTTCAATCCCACCAATTCCATTTCCCACTCTCATCGAAAATTAGCAGAATATGCAAGACAACAACCCCATGATGTCTGGAATTCTTTCTAACCTAACCAGCAGAAAACATCATCATATGACTATTCTTCAGCTCCTTGATCCCTTCGGGCTCGGCACCCTTCATCCAGTGCTCTTCAAAGTTAGACGGTACATCATACGCAGCTGGACCATTGAGGGAGAGGGCCACCGATTTCATCTAGTCGGGGCTTGACGAAAAGGGCACATCAGCCCCTGTACTTAGTGAATGCTGGCAAATCAGTCCTTCAACTAAAATTAGACACAAATCAGCCCCTTAACTCATTTCATGATCTTAAGGAAAACTTTTCTTGAGCACAGAACTTAAAGTGTTAAGCATTATGGATTCCTTAATTATCTGTGAAATCAAGTAAAACCTCTAAATATTTAGTGAGACCATTTTGCTTTTGCATACCAATTCCAATTTGAGTGCATCTACTTTAAGAAAGGCGTAAAAGTAGCAACATGGAAAGGCATAACTGATGCCAATGCATGTTAAAACTTCTGCTTCTGTGTCTTGCAGGTAGATGGTGGTTCAGGCCCTTCAACCATTGGTATGGCTGCTTCAGTAGGACCAAACTGCATTGTTCAGGGACCTCAGTGTTTGGAACCCCTCAGCCAGCTGAAGC